CTTTATTTTGGTAGACCTCTGTATCCATGATGGCCAGGAAAGCTTTGTCGTCTATGGATAGTGCAGGCTTGTCATCATCCTTGGACCTGTCAAACACTGAACATCCTAGGTTGTCTGCACTCATGATGAGATTTGTGTCCTCTTCACATGTAGGGAAGGTTGGACCATGATGCTGTGTCATGCCACTGAAGTGTTCCTTCACGTGGATGCTGTTAGGACATGGTCTCAGAAAGGATGTTCGACCATTGTGCAGTATGTTGGCTTTGTAGACGTTGACCTCTGATGGTTTGTGAACTGTTCCCAAGCACACTTCTCCCACAATGACCCAGCCAAGGTCTAGCCGCTGGGCATAAGGCGCGTTGTGGGGCCCATTGATTTGCTCACGCACCTTGTGCACCCTAAGGATGTCTCTTCCTAAGAGCAAGAGGATTGGAGCATCACGGTCTACAGGTTGAATCTTGGAAGCAACTGGCTGTAGGTGGGGGTGATGATGAGCAATTTCTGGGGAGGGAATTTCTGTCCTATCATCAGGCACCATGTCACACTCTATTAGGGTGGGTAAGGGAAGCTGTAGTTTCCCATCCATGGACTCAATGATGAAATTAGCAGCTCTCCTACCTGAAGTCTCTGATTTTCCAGAACAGGTTTTCAGTGTGTATGGGGTGGAGCTGGCGTTGACCTCGAAGAGGTTAAAAAACTCTGTCTTGGCTAGGGACTTATTACTTTGCTCATCTAGCACTGCATACATCTTAATTGCCTTCTCTTTTTTTCCTACAGGATATGCTTTCACCAAGCAGATTTTGGAACATGAGTGTGAACTATCTGCATTTCCACAAATATCTGTGCACTTGGAGGTGACTGAAGAAGATGAGCTTTCAATGTGCTCCCCGCTGTCATCTTTGTCACCCATAGCACTCTGTGTGGTTACGGGAGGAGGACCTGGATGCAGGGCCGCAATGTGTTTGTCACTGTTGCACTCGAAGCACTTGACAGTCGTCTTGCAGTCCTTTGCCATGTGTTGAGTAGATCCACAACATCTATAGCAGATGCGATTCTCCCTGAGGTATGTTTTGCGCTGGTCTAGGGGTTTGTCTCTAAAAAGCTTACATTTTTTTCAGTGGGTGGGGCTTCTTGTGTAATGGACACTGACGGTCTGGTTCATCCAATTTCTTTAAAACAGGACTGGTTTGGATGCCTGACGGTTCTGAGGGGATGTCTGTTTTGTGTACAGTCACAGCGGCTTTATTACTGTACTTCAGAGGCTTTTCTGTCTTGGAAGAGGCATAACTGCTGGAGGTGTATATTGTGAAGCTATGATCGTTTTTTATCTTTGCCTGTTGTCGGACAAACTTGGAGAAGACAGAGAAGGGAGGAAAAGCTACTCTGTTGTCCTCCTTGAATTTGCTTCCAAGGCTTGTCCACTTTTCTTGGAGGTTATACGGGAGCTTTTCCACTATTTGTTTTACCCCCCGAGCTGTATCCAAATACGAGAGGCCTGGTAGTGCACCGTCTTCCTTAGCATACTCTAATTCAAGGAGAATGTCACCTAGCTCTCTCAGCTTAACATTATCTCTGTTTGTTAGCCTCGGAAAATGTTCAATCTTTTTGAGTAGTGCGTCTTCAATGACTTCTGGTGTTCCATAACACTCTTCGAGACGCTGCCAAACCATGTTGACACCTGCAGTGGGATTGAGGACATGAACTGCACGAATTCTCTTGGCCTGTTCTGACGATTCAGCTCCTAGCCACTTTGTCATTAGGTCCAATTCTTCCCTTGCTGAGAGGTCCAAATCTTTGGTAGCACTTAGAAAGGAGGATTTCCATGACCAATAATTTTCAGGTTTGTCGTCAAATTGCAGAAGACCAGCAGTCACCATTTCCCTCCGGATAAGATATTTTGCAAAGTCTTGTGCACCTTGAGGCTCAGGTAAGTATTTATTTTCAGGATTGGCTGAGTACTTCGGAGTACTATGAGGGTTGATTGATACCTCTTCTTTTATGTCTTTGTAAACTGACTGTTGGCTGTTTTGGATACCCTGGTAACTCGCCGATTTATCCTCAGGCGTTTCCAATTTATACATTTTTCTATCATGTGACTCCCCAGCTTCGTACTTTGCAGGCAGCTCCACAAAAGCCAACTCAGACTGTTGTTGGACGTACTCAGTAGTGCGTTGGACTGAACTGAGGGGCCCGTCTTCAATATAGCAGAGTTCTTTTCTCTCAACTTCAGCTTCCTCATAGGCTGTAGCTTCAGCTTCAGCTGCAGCAGCAGCTCTTTGGCACTGGAGAAGATGGAGACTAGCATCGTAGTCAGCCTTTTGCTTTAGCATGCTTGCTTCCAAGTCTGCTCTTTGTTTCATCATGTCAGCTTCTTTTTCAGCGTAAACTAGTTGAGCCTGGGCAGCTTTTGCTTTGGCATAGGCTTTTGTGGCTGAAGAAGTTGTTGATGATGATCGCCGAGAGGCTCTGGAGGCTGTTCTTGATAACTGTGACTTAGCATCAAATTGTTCAGGAGGCCCATGCTTCATGGTTGTTTGATCTGCAGCCTCTGCTTGTTCTCCACTAGCTTCGTTTTGCTGCATAGTGGTGTCTTTCTTTTGATAATGTCCTCCTGAGCGTAGACTCATGTTTGCTGAGTATTGTTTTCTTGAGCTTGAGCCCGCTGTGCTCGTGCCTTTTTACTGTGCTGCCCTTGCAAAGCGATCTCTTGTGCAAAGCTAGACAGCCAGTGAACATTCAAAAGTCCTCCAATAAACACACAAGGCTTGACTTTTCTTGTATTTTACTGAAGTTGTTTCCTCTTGTTGTTTTGTTTTGTAAAACTGAAACATTACATAATAAGAATATAAATCAGTACACAAAATATGAACATATGCATACATAAGTATAATTCCTCTCAAAGTGTAAAATAAGCACTGTAGCCTAATGAATACAACAAGCAATGTAGCCTACTGTATGAAAACACAGTTCACCTACAACTCACAAAACAATTAAATAGCAGAGCTAGCTACAACTGTACTGCTAGCTAACAGAGCACATGTTTACCAAAACATAAAAACGTTTCTAACATGACATTCCTTACCAATGCAAGTAATTGAAAATGATTTACACATTACTTACAGGCACATAGTCTCCAAGGCAGAAGCGTATCAGAAATAAATACAGCAACATCAATCAGCACTGACTTTCTTGCCTGTCAACTGAAGAGCTCACTGAGTTCAACTGAAGAGTGCTTCACTGAATTATTAACTCTGACCAGTAGAGGGCAGCACCCCGCAAGAACTACTGAAATTTAACTTAATGAATTTAATATTTTAACTTTTTAAGCTCACCTTTTTAACTTTTTCCAGCGAATAGCTTATTTAACCCATTAACTTAACTTTAAAGACAGCACAACTATGATGTTAAAACAATAAAACAAACTACATAGTCACATTTCTGAGAATGAGAGCTTTCTTTTGATATGATTTTTCTGTTTTGTGAGATACGTAAAAAATACATATTCATTACATTTCTGCATCGCCATTTTGGGGGAGGAGCGATTTTGTGACGATTGTTTTTTAAAGCTTTATATAAATTATTTGTGTTCCATAATACACACATATCATTATATTCTGTGTAAAGATGAGATTTTAAGATTTAAAATGATACTATATATGGGGTGATAGTATCTCCAGAAATATAAAAAAAATAAGTTTAAATATAATGACGTAGCTCTATGCCCCGCCCACAGGCAATTAGAGTGGAACAGGTTATGTTCTCGCCTAATCATACCATTTTTTTTTTTCAGACCAAACAATGAGTTCTATTGAATCACTTTTTAGATCGTTGATGCATGGTGTCCACTGCAGTGGACAGATTTACTCACTCAAAATTAAATATATTGAAGAAAAAAGTTATTGGCATGATTTTCACTTTCACTTGTTTAAAAAAACAAACCTGAAAAACATATATTAGCCTACTTTGTGATTCAATAATTCATGCATAAAATGGTTAAATGCAGGTGATGTATTTAATAAACAATTTGCGTGTTTAAATACTGTAAAAAAATACATTGTGTTCATTAAAGTAATATTTTTGAGTGCTCTTGGTCCTTAAAGCAATCTATGGAAGCTTGTTTCCGCCACAGAATGAAAAATAAAAAAGGTAATTGCGACTTTTTATCTCACAATTCTGACTTTTTTTCTCACAATTGCGAGTTTACATCTCGCAATTCTGACTTTATTTCTCAGAATTGCGAGATATAAAGTCAGAATTGCGTGATATAAAATCGCAATTGCGTGTTATAAAGTCAGAATTGCGAGATATAAAGTCAGAATTGATTGATATAAAGTCGCAATTGCAGGTTATAAAGTCAGAATTGCGAGATATAAAGTCAGAATTGCGTGATATAAAGTCGAAATTGCGTGTTGTAAAGTCAGAATTGTGAGATATAAACTATTCTGAGGGAGGGAGGGAGGGAGGGGGGGGGGGGGATTAGTCTTTTTTCCCCCTTAGAATTGGTCTGATAACTCGCAATTGCGAGTTTACATCTCACAATTCTGAGAAAAGATGTCAGAATTTCGAGATATAAACTCGCAATTATGTGTAATAAAAACTCGCAATTATGAGAAAAAAAGTCAGAATTGTGAGATAAAAAGTAGCAATACTGTCTTTTTTTCTCGCAATTGCGACTTTATTTCTCATAATTGCGACTTTATATCTCGCAATTACGACTTTATTTCTCAGAATTGCGACTTAATATCTCGCAATTGCGACTTTAGTATTTCTCACAATTCTGACTTCATATCTCGCAATTGTAAGATAAAAAGTCGCAATTTTTTTATTTTATTTTTTTATTCAGTGGCGGAAACAAGCTTCCATAGCAATCCGCCCCTGTCCTAGCATGTACGTGCACGCAGATGTCTATAGGCTATAGCGTCAGTTGCGCAAGTCTGGAAATCCCATTTGCCCCTCTTCTGCTTACTGGTCCACTAAGGACAGGACAGTTTACTCTTAAGAAAAACTACAGTCGTCGTCGACACATAGGCCTACGTGTTGTAATCATGAGTGAATGCATGCACTTCACTGAGGGAGAGTTCTATCAGCGGCATTTTGATTCGCGTGCATATGTTAAAAATTTCTATTCCTATCCTCGCGGTCACTCTGACGAAAAGGATTTTCTTACATTCGTTTTAAGATGCCTTAGCCGAGTTTTCTCCACGGGTAAGCAAGCAAACGAATCGGTTACCTAACGTAACCTCGGTTCTCTCTAGATGAGGGAACGAGTATTGCGTAAGCTAGCTTACGCTACGGGAAAGATTCATCTTTTCTGAGAAATTGAAGCCAAAAATTATCCTATAATTTTGTATCTATTCACAACGCAGTTCAGCTGCAGCAGAGCATGAGCAGGCTAGCTAGCAGCTCATTGGCTCGCTCACAGGGAACTGCTTAAGCCTATGAGGAGACACGAATGAACTCTCGGCCAATGAGAGTCTGACCTGCTCTCATTGCGTCAGAGCCCGCCGAAACGGGCGTGGCCAGAGAGTATAAATTCGCCTCTCAGGCTGTAAATTCTGGTTTTCATAGAATGAAGCGAGAACGCTAGTAGCACAAGCACGGCCAGGAACGCAATACTCGTTCCCTCATCTAGAGAGAACCGAGGTTACGTTAGGTAACCGATTCGTTCTCTTACGAGAGGTTATCTCGTATTGCGTAAGCTAGCTTACGCTACGGGAACACCTGGTCAACGCCGTGCGTGCTAAGCATCCACTATGAGTCCCAGGGGGGACCCCGGGGAACCCTTATGAGTGGGAATAAAATATGTACATGTGACAAAGGCCAGCGGAGCGGGCCGGGGATTTGTGAAGTACATAAGCACATAATAAGGAGGGACAGAACGAGACCGGTCTGCGTGAATAACTCCCTATAGTGCAGCTCAACCAGGAGAGCTGTAACATACTAGACTGCTAGTAGTTTAGCCTGCAAGGCGGGAACTTCCAGATAGTAAAATCTGATAAAGGTGGAGGGGGAAGCCCATCCCGCTGCCACACAAATATCATGAATGGAAATTCCGCTGGACCAAGCCCACGATGAGGCCATGCCTCTAGTGGAATGGGCCCTGATGCCCAGAGGGCATGGCAGGTCTTTTGACGCGTATGCGGCTGCAATGGCATCAACTATCCATCTGGACAGAGTCTGTTTCGAGGCGGCCAACCCCTTGGTGCGCCCACCGAACGAAACAAAAAGCTGCTCAGCTCGTCTGACCGGAGCAGTGCGAGTAAAGTATAATCTCAGGGCCCTGACCGGACACAGGAGATTAGAGTCAGATTCGCTATCGGATGCAGGCAGAGCCGATAGAGAAATAACTTGTGCCCTGAATGGGGTACCAATCGCTTTTGGGACATAACCATGTCTAGGTTTGAGAACGACTAAGGAGTCATTGGGCCCAAACTCCAGACAGGAAGCGCTGCTGGACAGCGCGTGAAGGTCCCCCACAGGCTTCACTGACGCGAGCGCGAGCAGGAAGATAGTCTTGAGCGAAAGGTATTTGAGCTCCACGGTGTTTAACGGTTCGAATGGGGGGGCTTTCATAGCTTCGAGAACTATGGAAAGGTCCCAAATCGGCACCGACGGGGGGCGTGAGGGGTTCATCCTTCTAGCTCACCTGAGGAAGCGGATGACTAAGCCATCTTTGCCCAGTGACTGGCCACGCCGGGGTTCAGCGAACGCCGCGACGGCTGCCACATACACCTTGAGAGTGGAAGGGGACCTGCCCTTATCCAGCATCTCTTGGAGAAAAACTAGCAAGGAAGGAACCTCGCATGACCGTGGGTCCAAGTTTCTGTCGGTGCACCACTTAGAGAACACAGACCATTTAGACGCATAGAGCCTTCTAGCAGAAGCCGCTCTAGCCTGCATGATCGTGTTTAACACTCCTTCTGGCAAAGCAACGGGTAGTCGTTGATCACCCACGCATGAAGCGCCCAGCGCTCTGGGTGGGGATGCCAGATCGTGCCGCGAGCTTGGGAGAGGAGATCTGTTCTGACTGGAATGGGCCACGGGGCTGTCTGTGACAGCTGAGTGAGCTCCTGAAACCAAGTCTGACCTTCCCAACGCGGGGCTATGAGGAGCACCGAGTGGCGTGTTTCCCTGATTCTCTGAAGCACCTGTGGTAGCAGAGACACCGGAGGGAATGCATAAAGCGGGCGGCTGGGCCAGGTCTGGGCTAGCGCGTCCTCGCGTTTTGAGAAAAATATTGGGCAGTGGGTGTTTTCTTCTGAGGCGAAGAGGTCCACCTCTGCTCTGCCGAATATTCGCCACAGCTTTTGGACTGTAAGAGTGTGCAGGGACCATTCGCCAGGGGGAATGGGGTTCCTGGACAGACTGTCTGGACCGTCGTTCAGATGGCCCGGCACGTGCGTCGCTCTGAGCGAGAGCAGGTGACACTGGGACCAATCTAGGATGCGTTCTGTCAGCCGGAAGAGAATTCTGGATCTGACGCCGCCCTGACGGTTTTAGATAGGAGACCACAGCCATATTGTCCGAACGAATCAGCACATGGTGACCGTGAATGCGCGGCAGAAAGCGCGTGAGCGCGTTCTCGACCGCCAGCATCTCCAAACAGTTTATGTGGAGGAGACTCTCCTGAGCTGACCAGGGGCCGAAGGCCGGTGAGCCCTCGCAGACCGCACCCCAACCCATGTTGGATGCGTCTGTCGAAAATGACTTTTCGGCGAGAAAAGGTCCCCAAGGAAACGCCCCGCTGAAACGTACGAATGGCCTGTGAAGGGGATTTATCTGAATCTGAAAGTAGGCATCTTTCAGATCTAGTGAAATGAACCAGTCCCCCTGGCGCACATGCGCGAGGAGTTTTCTGATAGTGAGCATTTTGAACGGTCTCTTCATGAGAACTCTGTTCAGAAATCTGAGGTCTAAGATTGGTCTGAGGCCGCCGTCTTTCTTTGGAACCAGAAAATAACGGCCGTAAAACCCCGACTCGCTCATAGATAGAGGAACTCTCTCTATAGCCCTTTTGCACAATAGTTTTGCTATCTCTGAACGGAGCAGAGTCACTGCTTCTGGGTTCACAATAGTTTCTAGCCGCGCTCGGAAACCTGGAGGGCGGCGGTGGAACTGTAAGCGATAGCCTAGCCTTATTGTGTTTAGCACCCACTGGGAAATTCCCGGAATAGCTTCCCACGCTTGAAGCGTAACGCTAAGGGGTGAATGGCTACATGGTCCCCGTTGCTGCACACAGCGGGCCGCGCGGGCGCGCTCATAGTGTTTATGACAGCGGGACTTACACTCAGAGAGGAGTTTAAGGGCCGTGTAACAGAGTGAGCAGAGGTGGGACGCGCTTATGCACTCTGAAACTCGAGCGGGTTGGAACCGCTTTATGAGAGCGGGCTCTGTGAGACACACGGGAACTGAAAAGCTTTTGTGTATGAGTGAACACAGTGTTGTGGGCACATTTTCTACACGTGAGGCTTTTATGCTCTTTTTGAGATATCTCTGGGTCGCCGTGAAAACGGTGTTTGTGCACATGCAGTGCTTTATGTATGAGTGAACACAGTGTTGTGGGCACATTTTCTACACATTAGGTTTTTATGCTCTTTTTGAGATATCTCTGGGTCGCCGTGAAAATGGTGTTTGTGCACATGCAGTGTTTTGTGTGTGAGTGAACACAGTGTTGTGGGCACATTTTCTACACAAGAGGCTTTTATGCACTTTTTTTTTTCTTTTTTTTTTTTGGATTTCTCTGGGACGCGGTGAAAACGGCGTTTGTGCACATGCAAGCGGGAAAAGAGACCGGCTTGTTGATGGCGGTGTACACTGCTGCAGTAGCCGTGTGAACGGGGACTGACAGAGGGCGAAACCTTGATGGCGGTTCAGCCATGGTGAGAAATAGCCGTCCTTTTCTCAGCTGAGGGCACCCACGAGCGCTGTCTGAGCGCGCCCAAACACTCAAACAGCGCTCGCGCCCATCAGCTGAATCTATCAGAATACCACACTCAGAAATACACGGGCAGATCGTCTTTAGAAAGACGCGTCTTTAAAAAGACGTGCCGCGTGCAGCTCTTTAGTGAGAGGAAAAACTCCGCGGATGTTGAAGCGACCAGGGAGAACACACAGACTGGCAGACCACTGCTCAGATCGCAGGCAATGTGAAACTCGCTGGATACTGCCGTCACACCAACACCGGAGAGCTCGCTCGTCTCGAAGAGATGAAGTCACTGAAGAAACTCAGGATTTGGCTTGTGGAGTGAAGAGATGCTCTTGGCTCCGAAGCGAAAACATGATCTGCTGTTGCAGGTGTCTCTCCTTAAATACTCACGTGGTGAGGCGGAGATACATTATGCAAATTCCGCAGACCCATGGCATTTCTTGCCATAGACTATGTGCACGTTAGCATATGCTACTTCCGGCTGCGAAACCGATAGGGGGTGTCTAGTTTCCGGTAGCCTGATGGACGACGTAGAAGTAACGTTAAACATTGTTTACTTTTCACAATGCAGCAGCGCCTGGTTACCGTAATTCCTCAAATAAAAACCGGTATTCAAATAAACGCCGGGCCTCTGATAATGGCCGGGTGCGTGATCAACGCGGACAAATAAAGGCCGGGGGAAAATTAGTGTGGATAATCTCCTAAATGACTTTCATTGAAGAGATGTTACACCTGTCCACTTCATGCGTGTTCTGTGATCTGATCGTGAAAAGACCATGTATAAATGCCATCCGAAGCACATTCGAGACAATTTAAATCCGATCGCTCAAACCACTTCTTCAGGAGGAGATCTGAGACGAGATTCCAGACGAAACTGCACAAGTGTAAATCAAATGCATCTGATTGTTGAAACCACGTATCTAAATTTTACTCCTCCCAAAAACGCTAAAAAATAAGTGTGAGAGCGTGTTATAGGCTATGTAATGTTATAGCAAGATGTGAGAAACGCTACTGCAACACGCATCACGGCAGCCGAGCATCTATCCATAAAGCCAACGTGCAAACTATTGCAAATTAAAGTGAAAGTAAGTCGCAGACAATTCTCCTCATCATTAAAAGTAAAGAAACGAAATGATCTTACCAGGCTTGTTGCCGCTCTCGCTTATTGCGGTCTTTTGATTTAGAAATGAGCTGATCTATCAAATGCAGCTCATATCTGTTGCTTTCGGTGACGTCCACTCCATTAAATCCGCATATAGCGTGGGAATTGAAGATTTATATCCGTTTTGCGAAAACGCATTTGTGAGCAGATTTAAGTAGAATTGTTTTGATAAATCAGAGAGCTTTCCGATCTGAGAAAACACATGAAGTGGCCAGGTGTAAACATCCCCTAATATGCATTCAAGTTCATCGTAACGTACAGCCAATAGATGGTAGTAGACAATAGATGTAACACACATATAATTTAGTGCTGCTAGTGTAACGGTCTTTTCAACAACTTTAATGAAAACGAAATTGTCTTGAGGAGCATGGAACCCAGACGGAAATTTGATTTAGATTTTTTTTAAATAAAGCGCCTGCCTCTAATAAAAGCCTGTTACCTTCTGCAGTTTAGGTAAATAAAGGCCCCAGCTTTTATTTGAGGAATTATGGTATTACCACCGACTGCCCTTTGAAAAGTGAATCGGTTTTTTTTATGTTTTAGGTCCATTGCGAACGATTAAACTAACTTAACGCCGGTCCACTGATGTAAACAAGACGGCAACCGGAAACGAAGTACCCAATTTCCACCCTCAAGCCGGAAGTTAGCATTTTTCTCGTGCACAGAGCGAATTGGCTCGTTTTTTAATACTCGAAGATGATAGGCTTTCTGGCGAAACCCCCATTCTCCGTCATCCGACGTAACTCGGAGTGACTACGATAGGGAACAGTGGGAAGTTTTAGAATTCCATGGAATATTATTATTTTTAACAGTTTTTCTGAAGAGCGCTTTCAAAGATGTCATTTCCACCACTTTTCAATTTATGTATTTTATTACAATATAATATTGTAAAACTGATTATATAAGATTATGTATCAGTCAACAACATCAGTGGCTACCTAATCATGTAACAAAATAAATCTTAATACTTCATGAACTTAATACATTTTTATTTAAAGTTGCTAAATGCCACGAGTTGGGATTTTTGCCTACAGCATTTCATTTTTGCTCAGGTCTATGTTTATTTTTTAAAGTCACTCACACATATATTGTAAGTAATGGACTATTAATACTTGATTTAAAATACATTTAGATCCACATCATTTGTTATTCTTTTTTTTTTTTTTTTTTTTAAACTGTGTAGTGGTGGAAAGTGGTGGAAATGACGGTTAATGGTTGTTTCTGTTAATTTTTACTTAAATTGCCAGTCCAAAATATTTTTAACCATGTATTTTATTATTTAACATGTATAAATTGAACAGTATACCTAATAGTTTTAAAAATAATGATTACAAATGATATGAAAATTATATGAACCTGCTCAAAACATTAATTTCATTCAAATAAAGCTGTATGTGTGTGTGTGTGTGTGTGAGAGAGAATGTGTGTGTGTGTGTGTGTGTGTGTGTGTGTGTGTGTGTGTGTGTGTGTGTGAGAGAGAGAGAGAGAGAGAGAGAGAGAATGTGTGTGTGTGTGTGTGTGTGTGTGTGTGTGTGTGTGTGTGTGTGTGTGTGTGTGTGTGTGTGTGTGTGTGTGTGTGCTCTTGTTTTTATTACATTGTGAGGACCAAATGTCCCCACAAGAATAGTAAAACGTGAAATCACCTACATTGTGAGGACTAGCCAATGGTCCCCACAAGGGAAATTGATTAATGAACATACTTAAAGCTGCTGTCCGTAACTTTTTTCTAAAAATAATCCAAAATAATTATTTAAAAAAAAACATATTCAGCCAGTGTTCAAAACGATCTGCTTGCCGTAGCTCGATTCAAAGCGGTTAGCTTGTAATAATGATTTTATTTCCAGTGGTACTGGTGGATTTCCGCGGGAAATTCGAACATGTCTTTGCGTCATTACGTCACATCCGTACACATAAAGAAGGAGTTTCGGCTAGCCGGGCGTGTGGATGTTGACGGTGGGGAGAGAGATGCCTTTTCTCGCAGCACTTTACATACCGTAATTCCTCAAATAAAGGCCGGGGCCTTTATTTACCTGAACTGCAGATGGTAGCCGGCTTTTATTTGAAGCAGGCTTTTATTAGAGGCAGGCCTTTATTTCTAATTCGCGATCCCCGCCCGCCCGCCAGCCAAGTTTCCATGGTGACGCGACATGCTTGGCACGTGTTCACCACAGCCAAAATAGCGCTGTATGACAGATGTAGCGCTTTTATTTCTAAATATTAACAAACTTGCTTACCATGTCATCAACTATCTTCTATTCTGACTCTCAAATCCGTGTAAGTGAGTTTGTTTTGTCGTTTAAAACCCTTTATAAATGATCTTGATCTGTAACGTGAGATGGGCACCGCAGTTCGGAGATTCCTGTTGTATTTGTTAAGTTACAGCGCGTGAATTCTTCAGTTTCTCCCGAAATACATGAAAGTAAGTGGCCGGTGAACTGGGAGAAGAATAGAGTAAACTTTATAGTTACTTACACTGTGTATCTGATATGAATAAAACACGTCGCCAAATATATTTGAATGGATTGTTATTGCTGCTTCCATAGACACCATTGTGTATTTTACAAACTATAAATTTATTGTTTTGCTATAAATCATATCTATTTAAATGTCTGAAACCTAAAATAAACATGTGGTTAAAAACACTGAATAGTTGTGATATATGACAAGCGCTGAGCGCGTCCGTCTTTGAGTGTACACTCATTTAAAGTGTAAGTTACCTATTCACACTATTTTTTCCCCGGCCTTAATTTGAGACCGGCCTTTATTTGTCCGCGTTGACCACGCCCCCGGCCACTATCAGAGGCCCGGCGTTTATTTGAATACCGGTCTTTATTTGAGGAATTACGGAAATTGAACTTATGGCGGATCCAGAAAGATCCAAACGACAATCATCAGTGTCAACTGGAGATTCAGCAATTATAAAACCCAAAAGACTCCGTACTTCGGATTTAAAGTGGCTAGAGAAAGACAGCAACTGTCTCATGTGACAGAAGGAACATAGGCAGGGCGTTTGGTGCGTGAACTCCGTGTTTTAAAGGGGTTCAAAACGGAAGAAGAGACGCTTTTTTCTGCTGGACAAGTAAGACATTTCAATAGTTCAATCGTGTAACAGTACCACAATTGTTTGCTTAATTCACACAGTTATGGAGTTTCCTTTGTTGTGCCTTTCTCGTTTAGCTATTATGGAGAATATGAATTCTGAACTACAGGTAACCATAAAACACATTAAATGTAGTCACGCAAAGCTGATGTTGTTAACATTAACAATTTGAGAACAAAGTATAATTTGCACGGTTCGACATGATAAGCGATCGTTAATTTAATCAGCGCGATTTACTGCAGTGCAATCAATGCATTTTCCCCGTAGTTGATCTGAACAAAAGTGAATGTTACTTACTTGTTCAGATGACATTTTCCGGTGAAAATTCTTATGTTGGTCATCCTGTACTTCCAAAAAGTAGAATGTGTGATTCTGAATGCCAGTATCCACACCGGCGCTGTGACCGACAGCCGCGACGCGCACTCTCCTCACAACATTGTGTTCATCCGCGCTGTTTCATGCCGATGTACAACTCACGTAAAATGAATAATTCCGCGAATGACTGCAATTGCAGACTTCAAACAGAGATGGCGACAAAGAGGAAAAGCTACGGACTGCAGCTTTAATGTTTTTTAGAAAATGTAAAAGAGCAGAAAGTTTTCTGTGATGGGTAGGTTTAGGGGTAGGGTTAGTGTAAGGGGACAGAATATACAGTTTGTACAGTATAAAAATCATTACGTCTATGGAGAGTCCCCACAAAGATAGTGGACCAGACTGAGAGAGAGAGTGTGTGTTAGAGAGATTGAATGTAGTGTCATAGTGTCTGTGTGCATGAATCAAAAATGCATGGAATGCCCCAGCTTATCAATCACGTTGTGTGCATTAGACATTAAAATGCTACCATCATGAACAGTTAAAAACACAAGTGTAACATCTTAGACATAACTAACATGTTTTACAATTTACATTAACATAATATAACAGTTTTTTTTTACTGTTGTTGTTTATCAACCATAAACACAATAACCTTGTGGGAGTGTGGACCGCTCTTTAGCAAAAATACAAAACAGACAACTAGATCATAATACAATCAGAACAGATAACCATATTGTCACAGGTCGGGGCGGGCCAATCAGGCAGCACCCACCCCTGAGACCCGTACCACCCTTGGGGAGTCGGACAGAGGCCAGGCAAGGATGACAGACAACAAGACTTCAAGTAAACAGTATTTTATTGAATATAAAATTGGATAGAATGTTTAAAATGGTGAGTCTTCTGAGCAGGGTCGTTCCGTCCGGCGGACCCACCGAAGGCCCACAGAGTGCAGTGTGGGGGGTTCTCTAGTGGCAGCTTCGCTGTTTTCCAATGGAAGGGACGAGTCGGGGCTCACGACTGGGAGGAGGCTGCTGCAGGACAGTTCAGGTGCGCATTTCGGGGGACGTACTCCCTTCTTCCCAGGGGGAGAACGGGCCGAGACTTACGGCCAGAGGAACTGTGGTGGAGCAGAGGTGCGTGTTTCGGGTATGTACTCTTCTTCGCAGCGAGAAGCAGACAGAGAACTTACGGCTGGGGAGCTTCACTGCAACGCAGTCAGGTGAGTATACAGGCACGTAATCCTCTTCTTCTACCGATGACAGACAGAGAACTTACGGCTGGAGGGCTTCACTGCAAAGCAGTCAGGTCAGGTGAGTATACAGGCACGTAATCCTCTTGAAGGGCCGGCAAACACAGCTTACGGCGGGAGAGTTTCGCTGCAAAGCAGACAGGTGAATATACAGGCACGTAATCCTCTTCTACAGGTGACAGACAGAGAACTTACGGCTGGAGGGCTTCACTGCAAAGCAGTCTGGTGAGCATTCACCTACGTGTCCCTCTTCACAATGGGCTGTCAGATAATACACTCAAAGGTCTGTGGAGTACAACAGTGTTAGCCTCTTCTTATGTCTTTAGAACGTGATAGAAACTCAGGTAAGTAATGGACATCCAGCGGGTTTAAGTTCACACATCAAAACAGTGCATCACGTCATCTCTACAATTCAGCACTCAGTGGGAAAATACATATATAGATGGCCGTCGCCCATTTTCTGACCTGGCATTCACATCGGGGAGTCCCATAGACACGAAAGAGGAGGATGGAGATTGATTGGACTACTCACAGTCTCTCACAAACGATCTTACTGTCCAGCGATTCCCTCCTTCCGGTTGAGTCAGCGTGCTCTTTCTCCCAAACTCACAGTGCCGCCCATAGACATAATAAATACATAGACGCCCTATTGGCCGCTGGAGCGTACGTCAACGGCGCCGCCATGTTGGGGATGGCAACTTTCCCATACCTCTCATACCGGGAATTGAAAAAAATACCTGTTTTGTGCGCTGCTTGGGGCTGTACAAATCGCCACACTATTGAAAACAGCTTTCGAGGAATTACCTTTCACAAGCAAGACTGAACGTTTGTTTTTGGTTGTATTTGGTCATGATTTAATTAGTAATAGTAACGTCCAGAGGTTACATTTAAAAATACTACTGTTATTGTGTCACGAAATGTAGTTTTAATAGTTTTTCAGTCGACAATGTAGTTGTTTAAAGCTCAAATCTGTGGTTTGTTTATAAAGATAGCGCCTATTTAAAAATTTGATCTGACGTTTTCGGAGTTGTAAGATGCTATCACCGGGGCTCAGCGCTCGTCTACCCCGCCTGGAACAGACGTACCTCGGCCAGTGCTTCTGAAGTTTTGCCGCTGACTCGGATGTCTCTAGTCTAGTGGTTAAACATGAGCTATAATTCGTCTTGTGTATATCTAACGGGCGATCTTTGGTCTCATTAATCTATAAATGGTTCCCTGGTAAATCGTTTTGGCTGAGGGCAAAGTGAAGTTTCATAACTTTATATTTAGGCTATTTTAACGTTGTATCCTGCTGTATGTTTGACTGAAGCTACTTCTGTTATAATGGCTATTACTGATCAATAAAACTGAAATTTAACAAAAAGAGTTAAATATTAAAATGTCACTATTTAACTTATTTTTTATTGTATATATTCTGTAATTGATATTTCTTATTCTACTGCTATTATTATAGTATTATTAATAAACTATATGCTATTATCAATATTTGTATGATTGTATTATTGTACTTATGATATTATATAATTATACTATTCATTACTATTTTATTTGCTGTATACTATTTGTTTATTTTATTGACTAAACTATTTACTATTACTTCTCACATTATGTTATATTTACTATTTGCATTGCACTAGTTGTACCGTAACATATGTATTATCATAAAGGATCCATCAGTTATCTTTGTTATTGCTAAAATCTGGTCAATCACAAAAAATGCTTTTTCCACAATAAGAAAACTTAAATTATATCTCAGTATGGGGGTCTTCACCATTCTTATCCAAGAAAAAAAAGCCAAATACATGACAAGCCTGAGCTTTGACCATTCTTTATTAAAAAAAAATATTTTACAAGTCTAACTATCAAGATTTTAAATAACTAGAGATGGAACTTTTTGTACACCACATACAAACCACTGAAATCGGTTGATAAATGTAAAAACAGTTTGTTTTTATGCAGAAAAAACACAGCTCACCCGTTTACTTACATTTGATTACAGTGCAGTCTTGCCCTCCGCAAAATGGCGGACCCGTTGACGTATCGCAGCAACGCTCCAAAGCGGCCAATAGGGCGTCTATGTATTTATTATGAGATTCATAAATTTTGGGGCATCTCGCCCGGGGGGCGGGTAGGGTTAGGATTAGGGTTAGGTTAGGGTTAGGTTTAGACCTAGGTTCGCTAGCTAGTTCTGTGCCTGCCTGTGTGCGCTATTGTGCGCGCTGACCCTGGTCAACGAGAACCCGCATGAGAGATGTGAAACAGGACGTAACCCCGCCCCCCGGGCGAGATGCCCCATTTATTATGTCTATGGTGCCGCCCCCGTTTGCCGGCCCCACTTCCTCTTCTCCAACGCTCACGCTTTCTCCGGGCTCACAGTCCCCAAAACAACTCTCCTCTTTGGTCGGTACTCTCTCCTTTTATCCTCCCCTAATGGCAATGTGTCCCAATCGCGGGGCTTCAATCCCCTCATGCACAGCTGCCGGCGATTTTGCCTAATCACCCCATTCTCTTGGTCGGCGTTACGTCACAAATCATGTGACCTGCATAGCAACAAGCCGCCGCCGTGTTTGAAGGGTAAAACAAACCGAAGGCAAAGCCCGAGGCAAATCAAAAAGGTATCTATTCACAGAAGTTTTGCTATGGATTATGTCAGTTATGGATACTAACGGACTACTTTGTATTAATGATATCTGTGTATGCGAATGTATGTCGGTGGTGAGAAGTGAATTTAATAAAACACTCATGTAAAGCACTTTGTGACTAGTTAACGTTAGCTACATGTCTGTGAAAGGCGCTAGCAGCTATACGAATACAGATCTTCTATTACAGAATGTCTTATCAATATATAGACAGTCTCCTAGCGCCTGCATTGACCAGGTACCATAGAAAGCTGTCGCTTGTAGGTTTACAATCTTGTCCCTATCCGCATTAGGGTTGCCAACTGTCCCGAATTAGCCGGGACGTCCCGATTTTTGGGCCTAATTTATTTGTCCCGATTATTGAGTGCTACGCTGATCTGACTGATACAACAGCAACACGACACGTAAATTAGTTCAAATCTCCTAGAATCTAGAGCTGCGCATGCGAGACAGAACATAGCCTACTGTATGTGCGTCAGCGCCAAACCGTGTAGCGCGGAGAGAGCGAGAGACCTTGCCTGCGAGATGCCAGTCATGTTTAAATACCCATCAAGCATCGATTACATTAACTATGTAATTGATTTTTTATTCATAAAAACAAAACAAAAAAAAACTGTTCATTCAAAAGCACTGTGTTACAAAGTGGCTGTAATGAGCTCAGTCTGTCAGTGGCACAGCTTGTACAATGTCAGTGAGGGACACAGTTTTTTCAAAAAAGCCAAAAAAGGCTAACTGCATAAATGTATCTTATCGGTCTTTGTCAGGTGACGTCACACTCGTGATACACGAAGTGCATTATGGGGCGTAGCCGCCATTTGTAAGGTATCGATGCAGGGGTATTCTGTTGTTGGAGAATTGTGTTTTTCATTATTTTTTTAAAACTAAACCATCCTTAACATGACATTATCATCATCATCAATACAGCAAACCTATCTTTGCTGTTACTACTGTGTCCTTCGGTGGGAATGTAAATAAATCCTGTACTCAGCCGTTGGTAAAATGTCCGTGGGTTTTAAGAGATTTAAAGTTTTTAAATTGTTCACTGGTATATGCGCTTATACCATAAACAAGATAGTTGACAATGTCCCAGTATGAGGATGAGAAAGCAATGCGGGATCAGCACTCCAATTTACTGCAGTCAGCTCATATATGGATCTATGTTCTGAATGGATGACAATTTCTCCAAATAACGGTACCTGCCATATTTATCGAGTTTATTGTGGTATGGCATTTCCTCGGTTTTCTTGTGCTTCTCCAGTTTTGCGAGTTATTTACTTGTTATCTCTACTCTTGTAATCTCTTCAATGCTCACAGTCAGTAGCGATACCTCAAAAATGGCGCCTGCGGTGACGTCACACACAACAAACCCACGTGTCTGACAAAGACCGATTCCCCACATAACTAGTGCATTTCATTGTTGCTTATCAGTGTAGAGCTGATTCTCGGCGATTTTTATCTTCCGCTTTCGTGTTGCTTAATGGCGGGCGCTTGTTTGAATATCCTAGGACCCAAAATAGATTGGTCTAGAATTACTAGCTGTGTACAAACTGTGAGTGAATTTACTGAGAGGTTTTGCCAGTCAGCTGTAACGTACAGTGGAATAGTGGATGATTCTGAAAGTGTGCTCGATGACAAAGGGCCACTAGTCCGCATCTGGTCAGATGGCCTTGTAGCTGAATACAGAAGAGCTTTGCCATTCCTAGATCTGACTTGGTCTCACAAAACTCTCAGAAGTAACTTAGACAGTTTGGCTGCATGGGAAAGAGATGCTGATTTTAAAGCCAAAGTGAGAGTAGCAGCAGCAGCTACATTTAGCACAACCCAACCAGAAAGCAGGTGGTCTAAAAAAGAAGGCAAATGCCACTACTGTGGAAAATTAGGACATTGGGAGAAAGAGTGTAGGAAGAAGTTGCAAGACACAAAAAGAAATGCTATGCATAATTCTGCTCCTTCTCAGCCTGCTTACAACCCTGACGCAGTTCCGCAAGTGTCCACTGAGACTTTAGGACAGCTCGTTCAGGCTCTTCTAAGAGCACAAAAAGACCAGGAAAAAAACTAATTGTTGGGGCTGTGAGCAGCTACCTTTCCCCTGTAACCCATCATAATGACAAAAGAATTTTTGTGAAAGGTAGCATACAAGAGAAAGAGATTGATTTTTTGCTTGATACAGGTGCAGAAATGACAATAATTCCCACAAAATTGGCTAAAGGTTTAGACATTCCGTACAAGAAAACCAAACTTTCTTTAACTGGTGTAGTAGGTGAAGATTCTGTTTTGTATGAAACCCCGCTCATTGAGGTACAATTTGGCCCGAAAACTCTGACTACAAAA